CCGCACGTCCCGCCAGCAGTTCGCGCACGATCGCCCGCTGCACCCGACAACCGAGACCCGCGTGCCATGTGTTCGAGTTTCGTGGAACGTATCGATTAGAATTGATTAAAGGCCAAACCTATCCGCCCATTAGGTTGTGGTGTTCAGACGAACTTCACCAACGGTACTCTACATCGTGTCAGAGTCGGCAAAAATTTTAAAAAGGTAAACGTCCATATCCTAACTATAGATTCCGCTACGTTAGGATTTATTTCGATAAAAGTTCAATACTGTGCATGTTGTTTGACGTTCCTAACAGAACTCAACAACTGGTATCAGAGCCCAGGCTAATGCAAACTCGTGCACGGTTTGAATTTTGGACTTTGCCTGTCTACATGAATTATGTGCGTACGGACGCAGCGGCATAGTAGATTAGAAATTGCAATAAGTTTTTGCAGGTGTTTCGAATACGACTATTGTGGCCCGTATGTATGTTTTTTAATTCATGTTGAATGTATGCTGTTTTTAAAGCCTTGGACATGTCAAGGAATTTTTGGGTTGGTGAGTGCTTGTAATATGTAACGCCCCGTATTTTATTAATAAAGGAAAATACTAGCTTTTAGTTTAAGCTAGCCTTTATTAATAAATATTCATATTCAAGTCCAAGTTTATCAGCTAGTCAGATTCCAAGTTCGACTATTAGTCGATAAGATGTTCGGTTTACTTATTTTAGTAACCGAATAAGTTTTCCAGATTTATTTCCGATTCGTTTAATTAATGAGTCCGGAATTAATTATTCAGTCAACGTCATTTTGTCAGTTTTTATCAGTAAAAGAATAATATTTTAGTTCCGATATTATTTTTCGGAATTAATTATTTTCAGTTATTTCAGTCGGAATTACCGGAAAATATTTTCGACATACCGTTTACGTGCGAAATAATTTTGGTAATTAAGCATTATGTTTAATTGGATAATTAAACATAATTAAGTGATTAATTTACATTAATCATGAGATTAGTAGCTTAAGCGTTTGGATTATCTCTAATTAATCCAAGCTTAAGCTAAATGCCGTGTGCATACATATATGTGTTATGTGCTAGTGTTAGTATATTTTTGCTCCAAGATCATGTGTAGTGCCGTGTGCATTGTGTATTAATGCCGTGTGGCTAGGTGTGCTTATGTTAGTGCATGTGATGTTGGCTTTTAGTGTGAGGAGTTAGTGATTTTGAGTGCATTTCATGTGCAAATGCCGAGAGCTCCCCTCCATTCAAGCTTGGAAGACCGTGCGCCTACTTTGTCCCTATGCTAGAGATTCTTCTTCCAACATTATTCATGAAAGTCGTGCGAGTCAAGATGCTCCTCTCCTTGTCCTCTTGTGCCATGGGAGTTTGTGTTGGAGTGTAGTGTTTTGGCTCCATTATCTCCTCCCTTGTTGCCGTGCGTGTGTTGTGGGTTTTGCCCACAAGCTTCCAACTTCTTGTTACTAGC